GAACGCCGGAGACGCAGTCTCCCGTTCTAGGAGAAAAGAGGCAGATGTGATGTGAGCGGAGATGACTTTCCTGTTCCCAGGGGGAAAAAAATTGTCCTGCCCCCCCTTCTTTCTGCCCATATGTGCTGGGATGCCCAGTATCATCTTTACTTAGGGCTTAGAAATGTATCAGCTTTATAAATGCCGGTCTCTCTCTGTTTGATTATTTTATACACTGAGCAGAGAGGCATCAGTCAGGTGACTGGGATGCATGCTGTTTTCTCTGAAATGAGGGCAAACTGCATTAGCCGCAGGGATGTTTGTGTTTGCGAAAGAGAAAGAAAAGCATTTGAATAGTTTGAAAAAACAACAAAAAAACATATGTATTTAAGACAGAGAGATTCAGACGTTCATGCACATTATATTACTGAGACTAATACGAATGAATTTGAAAATGTAATTTATGGGTGGAAATATTTTTTTATGCCCGCCAGAGACTTTAGATCTTTGTCTAAAAGTTTTCTGTCAACATCAAAATCTCTTTTTCCCCCTTTTCTTCTTTTAGCTCGACAACAACACACAATCTGGAAAAGAGAACTCAGTTTCAATAAAGTAAACACAAGGTAAAGGGAAGGGCATCTCTAGTTTTTTTTTATCTATGTCCATAATTATGTGTAAACCTTTTTAAAAACGAGCTGTGGAAAAATTATATACGTATTAAAATAATAGTTTTATGGTTGTGCAGCCACCACGTTGCATCTTTTCACTTGCACTTTCGTCCATAGCAAATTACATCAAATCAGCCACGTTCCTGACTGTAGTGAGTTAGAGAGAGACATATACTAAACATGTATCATATAATATGCAATCTTCTATTAATATAATATTAATATTTGCTTATTAAATATTAAGGCTATTGTTCATTTTAGTATAAATCAACACCCCTAATTAACATTAAGTTTGTGTTTTTCAAAGCTAAAACAGAACCTCTCGACAGGACTCTTGAAAGCAGGCACTACACATTGAAAAACACCTCTGTGCCGTCACTCTCACCTTCTGCCTCTCTTCACTCTACCTAACACCACGCGCAGAGTGGACTTGTGTGGCGGAGAGGCCATCTTTTGCGCGCCCCGGTGGGATCACTGGTGTCACTGTTCACACATTCAGGTTCATGCAACATTGACCTGTGGGTTATAGGAACGCGCAATTGTCTGGAGAGTGAGGTGTTGCCAAAGCTGCTGAAAGCACCACCAGTGAGGTCATGCTGTGAGGCCTGCAGCGTTCCACGGCTTCACTTTGAGGATTCTGTCTGTAAAAGTCTGACAGCCCGCAGTGACACAATGGCCTGTAATCTATTTAAGATTGAAGTCATTCTCAAAGCGAATACACTACCCATTAACTTAGAGAGGACAAATAAAAGTGTCTTTAGCAAACACAATTATCTAAATAATTACCAATCAGAGTGCAGCAGTATAATACATGTCTTATCCATATGTATATCAGCAAGAGCCGTGTCTGATTATTGCTGCTATGGTCCAGTGGGCATATGAGAGCGTATGCTCCAAAGGAAGAGCAAGCTATACTTTTATTATCAGCTGGCCTCAAAGGTGCTTCTATAATGCTTGAAGATCAATACGTTGTGGCTTTGCAAGTGCAGCCTTGCAACTCTGTGCCATATGAAGTATTACTGCCAACCGCCCTGCTGTTTGATGGGATCTGTGCCTTTGGATTTGTTAGGGCTCAGGGGGAAAAAAAAGACTACAGTCTAGATACCCAAACTGCTATTATATGGAAGAAAAACAACACAAAGGTAGTATCACTGTGTTGGTAAATGTAAATCACCTTTTATTGTCACACGTGTACACATGCAGCAAACATTGGAATACAAACTGCTTTTAACCCAAGCTAGTTTTCCTATGCAGTGGATAGTTACTCAACAGCACCTGGGGAGCAGTTTGGGGATCTAGTGCCTTGCTTGAGGGCACCTCTGCGATGCACAGGAGGCAAACTGGCACCTCCATCCAAACTCTTGGTAAGCTTGGAGGCTTGAACGTTTGTCTACCCTCCTGGTGTTTGGGGCATATCTGCTATTTGCAGTATTATGATAAGATGTGATGACACCTGTAACAAAAGAGACGGATTCTAAAGGGACATTTCACCAAAGTCCATCTCAGCTTTATTTTCCTGCTAAATTCACTATGTTTTGTGTTCTGTGTATGCAACAAATGCATTTAATGTGTAAAAGATTTGTTACAGATCATTTTTTCAAATGCTTGAGGTGCTCCTCTCTTCTTTTTCTATTTCTATTCATCCTCATCAACAATGTTTTCTATTAACAGTTTCCACTTTTTCAAAGGAATGTGCAAACTCCATACAGGGACACTTAACGTCACATTGAGGTTTTATATCATGACCCTCAAATTGATTGTACCGCTCACTTTAGTCTATTCCTGTACGTAAAATGAACTATAGAAATTGACACAATTTCAGTAAGATACTCAGAAGTTTGAAAGTGAGGACGCTGAAAGTTACTTTTCAAAGTTAACTGCGGTCAGATGTAGCCAGACGAGCTGTTGTTAATAAAGCAGGAGGCCCGGTAAGCATGTGAGTTGCTAACATTACGCAACTTAACTGAACCTTAGTTAAGATGTAAGTCCCATCTTTTGTTGTTTGAACATTTGTGTTGGTGGGTATTTTTGTGAGTTGTAACCCTTTACTTATAATTAAAACTTAATGCTGCCGGCTGTTTTCCCAGCTGCACCTCAAGAGCATTTCTTCATAAATGTGATCGTCTCAGCCACTATGCATAATCGGTCTGCAAATGCATGCTTCAGAGGGACATTATTGGAAGTTGTTGCTTAAGGTATGAGGAGTGCAGAAAAACTCACTGAAGGGTCAAGGGGATGTCAAACAGAGTCTGTGCACACATTACATTACATGCTTTTATAGGACGTTGTTCTGATTTTGGTGCAACTTAATATTCTCCACGGTTACACTACGTTAAGGCAAAAGTGTGAAAAGCTGTAACACTTGTAAAATGTATTCAGACTCCTCATAACTAATCACAATATTGCTGTAGTAGTAGTAGTAGTACTAGATCATATATTAGGCTCATTGTGCTTTAAAAGTGTTTTTATGGATTTCTCAGGCTGATATGTCTTTGATAGTGTAGAATACAGAATCTAAGATCACATTTTCCTTTTCTGGTTTAAAATTCATGAAGGTGTAACAGAGCATGAGCACACACAGATACAACGGCATAATACCGTATCCACGTACCGTTTGTGTAAACTTTGACAACACAACAATAAAGCAAACAAGCCTCTGGCCGCTCTCCCTACAGCCTAATGGCCAAGACTAATGGCTGTTTGTCTTGTTTCATGGTAATTGGAGGCCAACTGACTTTGCAGTAAAGTCTCTGCTGTCCTGTTCCTGCTGACATTCTTCTCTGTCGGGCCCAGTGTGGCTCCTCTGCTCTGTACGGTAGGAATGGGTTTCTCCTCTAATGATATCGTAATTGCGGTTTTCTGTAGCAGTGGACAATGGTTGCCAAGCCTGAAGGTGCACGGCCCAGCAAAAGATCTGGAGATCAGACCACGGACACCATGTGGATGAAGGTACATGTGTAGGAGAAGAAAAATAACACATTGATCAAAGCATGATGCCAGCTATTGCTTTCCCTCTTTGATGTTTTTCCTCATATTTTTTTGCCGACCTACGAAAACCCACCAGGTTATCTACAATACATCATTAGCGTCGGAGAATCCGCCACGGACTCGTCCTTTAGGAGGCTGCGAGGCGCTGAGGTGTTAACTTGATGTGCATGTTGACCTACGCAGAGCTACAGATACACACACTTCCGGACACATGTTTACACATGAACACACATTTTCCAACAGATAATGACTCAAAACTAACAATATATTTGGTATTTCATGCATCATTCCGGGCTTTCGCTATTCCTACAATTCAAAAACGCCGACTTGCCTCCTCACTTCACAGGAGTGAGATGGCGCAGTGCTGTTTGAACAATAATTTTTCAGTTCAGCTAAATTCATGCTGACGTTCCAGTTTGCCTCTTTTGCTTCCTGAAAACTCCCCTCTGCCTCTTTTTAATCCTCTGATGCGAAGAAGAGAGAGGGGGAGAGAAAGTGAGAGAGACCAACATTGAATGCTGACAGGGACATTACTTGCCCTCCCTGCATACCTTGTTTACAGGCTCCCTCCCTGCCGTTATACCCTCCCCCCTCAATGGAGCCATAAAAATCAAATAGGAGCTTTTAGAGAAATTGCCTGTGCTCTAAAGATTAATAACATTTGCACTGGTCCACCCAAGAAAGTCTCCAGAGACAAAAACGATATTGGAAGATTAAAAGTGTCTCATCCCTAAATTGGAATGATTCAGAGCTCGAGCTGCTCTCTAAGCAGCTTATTGAGAGTCAAGTCCTTCGTCCACCTGCCAGACAAAGCATCATTAAGTATTTACTGCATAAGTCTAATGATGTGGACGGGATCGACCCTTTGTGTCTAAAATGTGACACATATAGTATATGTATGTATAGTTGATATATGTTAGTGGTCAGTTATCTTTTTACAGGTTTTAGATTTAGATTAGTTAAAATCACATAACGGCAATAAGAGAGGACTGAACTATTCGTATCAATGAACAAAAAAGTGGGGCATAACTCTTTTGACTAGCTGTTAGACATTTATACCTGCACACCTCTTCAAATGAAGAAGACAGAAGTCTATGCACCGGTCTTACTTCATGATAGTTGAGAAGATTAGGCGGTCCAGTAAGGATATAATAAATATTCAGAAGCATGTAATTCCCCTGAGAGAAAGAAATGAGAGTCAGAAAAAGAAAGAACAAAAATCACTTGTGAAATAACATAAGTCATGAAATAAATAATAGCACCATCTTCATAACGACTCCTTTTCACGAGAAGAGCAAAGGAAGTACAACGTACCGGTGCGTACAGCTCATTTTGAACGTCTCTCTCGACAGTGACGTGAAATCTCCATGGTAACAAGGAAACACACGTCCCCGCAGCAACCAGACAAAAGCGTCTCTGAAGTTGCCTCGCAACCGCTACACAACATCTTAGGGCGTAACGTTTCTGAGAGCCAAGCCAGTGTGGATTAAAACAGGTAGCATTGCCCTTCATTTCCCCGGTTGGATTTACCTCGCCGTTGGACAGAACGGAAGCCGTGGCCATGTCGAGGCGCGGGGAGGGATCACAAACACGAGCCTTCCCGCCGAAGGCCCCCAGGAAGAAGAACTTCTCCGCGGTGAGTGAACTTATTTCATGTCCTGTCAGCTGTCGTCACCGTGGTGGGTTTGTGGACGGAGCTCTGAAACGTCCCCCTCCTCTCCCCTCCTCTCCTCTCGTCCCCCCTCCTCCCCCCAACCAATTCCCCAATGAGCGGCAGCATTTAAAGGCCTCGTTCCACGTGACGCTTTCGTTTGACGGCTAACTTAACCTAACGGCGAGGCTAACTTTAGGTTTAGCTTAGCCTTTAGGTTAGCTTGAGCACCGTGTGAAGCATTAAGTTGGACCGTTTGCCTGAGCGGCCCCCATTCATTTCTTATGTCAACGTGATTTACTAATGACCAACAAAACAACAATGTTTTGAGGATATCATTTTAGAAGCTATGTAAAACCACTTATTTGCATATAATGTTTTTTTTTGTCTCCTTTTGTCCTACTCTGGGACAAATGAACACTTCCAGGACCAATATGCCCTTGCAGAGCAATCCCCTTCACGGACCTCCAGTGTAGTTAAAGTAAGGTGAAGGAGCTCACTAATTTCAAGAGACATGTCGGGTTATCTTCTCCACTTATTTGCCCCCAAATGAAGATGGATCAGGAAGGTGCAATAACTTTGTACGGCAGAGGACATCAGTCTCTATTGATTAACTGTATTGATTGGTCAGTGAGACTAGATTGTGTGCAGCTACAAAATGGCTAAGTCTTCTGTAAGTGTATTGTTGCATATTTATTTAAAAGGAGTTACAAATATGAGCTGCCACAGAGGTCCAGGGTCTAGTGGGGTCTTGTTAAAAATGAGATTGTGTAATCCGGCTCCCACAGCTGGTGCTGTTTGCCAGCAAAGGCTACTGAAAGATCCAACTGTGTTCTGGCAGATGTGGTGGGTCAAAGGAGCAGCAATGGGGATGGACTTTATACGTTGATGAAGAAAACTAAGCCACCCGGCAGCACAGTTACACAGACTTCCTTTTCATTGCCGCACACAAACCAGACCGTGTCCAAGAATATGTGCCATCGCACCTTTTGTAACACTTTGTGTCAACGATAGTGCTTCAAGACTTGGCGGGGGGGGGGGGGGTGGATTTGATTTGTCCGCAAGAGTCATGAGAGCTGTTCAAATCTCTCTCTTTATGCTGAGGAAAGATGCTTCAATGCTTCCTAACTTGGCTCGGCACCCTTTACGAAAGGAAAGGAGACAATTCTGTCCCACAATTCATTTCTGCGAGAGAAATAACGATCATGACCGAGAAAAACTTATCATATAAGTAACCATTAGCATGAATAAATATATATTTTATTCCTGTTAACACAGTAATACTTTGAACCTTGTTGTTTTATGTTGTCTACATGACTCACCAATAACAATTGGACAAATGCATCTAGGAGGTGCTTCTTTGTAGTAAATCAACGGAGAAATTGTAGTTTCTCCGCTGCAGACCGACGTCACTAACATGCGTCTCTCGTTGTAAGTGGAGTCGGATTCTCTAAACACCGCGGTTTTCTTTTCCTTAATCCTAACCATGTCTTGGTAATGTGGGAAAGAAAAGGGATTGCTTCTACAACCGGTATACTTCACCGTGGAGGAGATTGGGACCATTATTTTATCCGGAAAGCAACATCGGCCGTGACTCAAGCAAGATTTTCATAACTTCTGTATTACAAAAAGTATCAAGTTAAGATATAGTTCAAATACTGTGAGAATTAACTTGCAATTGAAACAGCTCTACGTTTCAGTGGCAGGGCATGCCTTTAGATGAAAAGGATGCAATCATAGCTATCATTGACTTCCTCCTACTTTTTTGAAGGTCATAAACAAATCTCCTGTCAAGAGCCTTCACGAGAAAGCCCTTTAACATTCACCATCTCCTCAGAGGATCTGCTACATCAGGAACACCACTGATACTCTCACACTGGCAAAATCCTCAACAAAAACCAATACATTTTTCAGAGGGTTTGCTTGTGTCTGTTGCCTTCTGTTTTTTGTTTTTTCTGCCTCCCCTGTGGTCACTGACATATCGCTCCGTCGAGGGCTTTGCAGAGAGCCGTGATTTGTAGGTAAGAACAAGACCATTCCAAGCCATGCCAGAGTATGGGGATTTGAAACATAGGCTTATTACGCTTTAACGTATTTGTGGTCATAGAAATGGAATCAATAGCAAAAGCCCATGTAACTCTCAACATTTCTTTTTCTCATGATTCATTTCCAAGCATTTAAAGAGGGGGAAAAAAAAGGTGCGCTTTACATTCTGCTGGGAGGTCGTCACCTTGTGTTTCAGACAGAAAATAACAGCTTTGTTCTCCTCTCTGTGTCAGAGACCGGGAGAGAGCAAGGTGACAAAAATAACAAGGGTTGCTGTGACACAAATGGACATGAATCAGTAAATGTGAAGCTCACAGTTGACATGGAGGGAGAAAGAAGACATGGGACAATTTCAGGAGTAAAGGTGTGATACGGTTGCAAAAACATTCCTGATCATCATCATATGAAAATCTCTGCTTTTGGCCATTCCAACAAATTCGCAGATACTTCAAACCTATTACTGTTAGGACAGTTAACCTGGAAGAGCTCTGATTTGTTGACTGTTCACCAGTCGAAACAGCACCTTTTGGTGTTTCATAGGTGTGGATTCAGCCTTCATTGTTCCAGCTCGCTGTAAAAACATTTGGTCCATAAGTATTGAACTCAATTGGGGTACAGATTTTACACCTTAAGATGAGGAATATGCGCTTATATCACCATCACGCCTTGCAATTGATTCATGTAGTCTGTAATTGGTTGAATGTTTGCCGTCACACAGTATTTTTTTGTCTTAAGGGTCATGAAGCCGGTCGCGACAGGAAGTGTTCCTGGATGAAAAGTCACGTAGAAAAACAGAGCGAAGCCGTGAATTTCTGTACATTTCTGCGTCCTACATTAAACTACCACACAACACAAGTGCAAGAACGTGGTCGCGATCCCCTCTAAGACGGCCGGGAGGGAAAATTGATACAAACTCCACCAGATTCCAACCTCGACTTTCATAATACAAGGGTCTGCAGTTTGCCGAGCACATGGGCCGCTTTCATAACGCACACCTCCCGTTTACTGTTTGCTTGGCTTCTGGGACCAGAAATTGAGCTGGCAAACATCGTCCCCAAGTCTGCCTTTCCCTCCCCAGCCCCACCGGCGTCCCCGGCTCACTCCACCTACCCCAGGGGACAGATGAAGACTCCGTGCTCGCAGACGTGACCATCATATCTTATTCCGTTCGTCTGCCAAAGCAGCATCATCATTATATACCCGAGCAGATGTTTTGGCCTCCTATGCCGTCTTCCTCTCTCTTTCTGTGTAACCTTCATCCCACCGGGCAGGTCCCTGAAGATGAAAACATTTTACACTGCAAAATAGTGTGTTGCCAGACAATTACTGATAAATCAGCAATATATTAACAACGAATAATAACAGGAACTTGCCTTTGATGCTCTGGCTACTGAATGTCGTCTTAGTAAATTACATCATCTGAACAAATTAAACAAGTGACAGTTTAGAATTGATCCTTGATTGGCTTTTAAATGAGTCTAAAATCTAGGCGCAACCTCATTAAATGTAATCTCTCTTTAAATGAAAATATAAACCTCGTTACAATGCCGTCTTGGATTTAATTTGGTTTGGAATGAATCCAGATGTGCAAGGGTTTTCCAATGGTCTCATGTGTAACATGATCTAAAATGATTAAATCCTTGCTATCCACGGGAACACCTGAACATGAAAAGCAGCAGGATAGAAAGTAGGAAATAGAAGAGATGACCTAAGTCAGTCTCATGGCTAGCAGCAGTGTGTTGACCCAAATGGAACCCCTGAAAGCTTTTATGGAGATGAATCTGTCTGTTTATTATTTCCTCTCCCAGTCAAATCCATCCTTCCCCTTCACTCCTAAACACGTTTACCTGACAGAGGAGTCCGTAATGTGCCCGGCGTGATACATAAATTGGCCATGAAGCCGGTATGGCGTTATGTGAAAGGCAAATTCAGCAGGTTTCCACTATTGCGGTGGATTCGCTCCCTTGTGCGCTTGCCTGCCTCACCCGGACTGCCCCGTTGAAGTGTGTTTTGGAAATCATCGGCGCTTGCAGACACACAAAACCTTTTGCACACACTAAAACTATTTTTGCCGCATCCATCCCTCTGCCCCTGCACGCTTGTCTTATCACCACCAGAAGCCTGCCGTCCATCCCTGTAAGCAGCTGGGTTACTGGAGGAAGATTTGAGTCATGGTAAAAAATTGGCAATGGGCTCTGGAGGCCTCGTGGCGTTTCCATTACTATCGATCAACCACGGCACCTAAAGGCTTTGAGTGGACGGATCTTTTTGGCTGACTAGGAAATCATAAAGTTTCCCCCCATAACTTTTGACTTTGTTGACTTTGGCTTGCTTGCTCCTCACTTTAAAAGCAGTGCAAAGAAAGTGACCCAAATAAGATCCCACTTCCAGCATTGTTTAAAGATATTTCTGTATCCATGAAATGTGTTAAATTAGAATTGGCCATTACACGGAAGTAAATCCTGCCTGTGAAATGCCATTTCCTCTGAGACTTTGCTTTGATCTGCTAGGAACCAGGAATTTGTATTTTGTCCGTACGGAAAAAAACCTCAACTTTAAAACTGAGGAAATTTATACAACTTGTAGTATTTTCTGTGCTGGATGTTCCTCTCACAAGGTATTCATTGATGACGTGCTCTCTGAAAATCATGAGTGCTGAAATGTCTGTGACCTTTTCCGTGCCTGAATCAAACGCTGTCTGGAAACTTCAGTCGGACTGTGGAGAAGTTGCACAGCATTCTATCATGGCCTTGTAGGAGGTGCTTGGCTGATTATTATTCCATTATGTTTGCTTTCGTCAGAGCTCGGTGGACAATTACACTGGCCTCTGTGTTTGTTGTGTTCTCCTTCAAGCCTTTGTAGCTTGCATTCCAATTAGAGCGCCTTTTAATGGAGAATGTTTATTGCTCCTTGCAGGGCCTGTATTTTCTCGCTCTCCA